CCTTTGGATGCAGATTGAGCTCGCCCTGACCACTTTTACACACTTTTTCCACTCACTTTTTAGAGGAGCTAAGGGTGGAAGGAGAGGCTAAATTAAGCAAATGGGATTTGAAAGGCATGCAGAGGAGAGGTTAAGGCTTGCAAATACTATTCGGCGCACTGTGCATACTTGTTAGGCATACACACATGCACACAAACAAAAAAAGTATGAGGAAAAAGAAACAGGGAAATTACAAACGTGAGCATAATATTCAGTTTCAGAAACCTGCACCCACACCTGAAAACCGAAAGAAAGAAGGAATCTCGAAAACTGCCTCTGAGTAGTGGGACATATTTACATATGGCTGCATTACTTTTTGCATAGTTTAATGCCATGAACCATCACGTGGCCTCATTGGTGGTGATAATAATAATAATAATAATAATAATACACAGCTTGACTGGTGCCCTGTGCAAGGACCCCCGCCCAGCCAGTACAACACACACACACACACACACACGCACACGCACACGCACACGCACACACACACACACACACACACGCGCATACGTACACTGTATACTACTTATAACGAAATATGAATAAAGACCTTTTATGACAGCTCCACAAGATACAAGCATGTCATGACAACACAAAATCATTTTGCAACGCATTTTTGGGCCATATAATTTTAACACAATGCATATTGTGGATGTGCTTTCCAGTGATGTAGAACTGTACTGCATCATACTGAGTACTGTCTGAACAATATACAGTAATAGGAAGAGCTCTCTGTGAGAAGCAGTGGAGATCAAGACCGCTTTACACTAGAACCACAATAAGAAACAGAGTTAAATTAATAACACTATGACTGTGTCAATAAAAACAGACTGAATTTTTCACACAGCACTTGATCTACATAGCAATACATCGTTTTTCAAAATGCTCTGGTCGATTACTGAATAGGGTAAATAATATATCTTTGTTAGCATATCTTCGCCCACACGTAATTAACACCAATAAACCTGCAGGTATGATATACATCCTCTCTATGTTTGACAGCTGAAGACGTGTGTACAGACTTTTCTTGAGTGTGCCTGAGCACTACCAGTGGTTTGCACTGAAAGCAAATGCTTTGTATTTCAAGTTGGAGCTGTGAAATTAATTTAAATGGAATCACGATTTCCATTTTGGCTTATCACGATCTTAAAATCATTATAATCAAAGAAAACGTATTAATATGCGGCACGGCGCAGGGTATCTACAAGTTCCTAACATTGTAAAAGTACTCTGAATGCACCATGTTACCGGTGCAGCAAGCGTGTGACGTGAATGTGATTCAGCCCTCCCCGAGTGTGCTTCAAGCTGTTTAATGACACCAATTGGGATAACCGTAAAACTAAACACACGAAAAAAAGAATTACACACACTGGATAGTTACATTAAGTACAAGACAAGCTTTGTTTTAGAAACATCACCAGTGCTAATGCTCAAGCTAATGTTAAATCCCACTGACATGCGAGCATAAAATTGACGTTGGCCAACATTCACACACAAACACATTAGAAACAATACTCAAAGCTAAGGTACATTTTCTTTCTAATCTGTGAAAAACGGGTTATATTCACAGAGCTCATTCGCAACTTTCTTCTTCTATTTCTTCTTCTACTCCGATTGTAAGGGTGTACTCCACACTGCCGCTAATGTGCGCACAGCAGGATCAGACGGGATTTATTTGTTTTTATTATTATTTCAGTATATTCTTATTTTAATCACATTATTTTCTGGTATTTCCGAGTTTTATTTCAAGTTCAGTTTTCAAGGATTCAAGAAATTTGAATTACAACGGACATGACACGGGGCATGAGATGAAATATGATATCTGAGGTCCCGCGTTAGCCCAGTTAGTCCTGAGACTTGTGGGAAAAAATTTGAATAAATAAGATAACACTGAAAAAGATATAAGGGAAATGCTTAACCACGGTTTGAATGTGTGAAAGAATTCAATGTAGCAGAATGAAAATACAGGATGCTTAAATTTCAAATTATATTTACAAGGTCATTTCACAATCGACAAAACAAATAGAGCGTCTATGAATAAAGTGTTCACCGTGCAGGGATGAATGGGCATGACATCATGTCAGATTGGAGTATTGAAGTTTTGGCAGTAGAATAAATGATATAAAGTCAATGAATAATCATTTATATTGAGCATGATTTCAATATCAATCAAAGTAAATTTTTATTTTTTTCCATAATCGCCCTGCAAGTCATGTTTTTCTACCTTAAGAAGGAAGTGGATATGCAAGACCACAAGTAATCTCATAAATCAATCACATTAATTAGATTTTGAATGGCCACACCAATATGCATCCTCCTCTTTGAGTAGATGTGGCATACACACACACGCACACACACAGTCACCAAACGAAACAATGGCATTGCATGAATGCGGCAGAAGAAGCAGTTTTATCAGAACATGGCATTTTTTCATGAAAACAAAAGCAAAGCACATGAAGAATTTTTAATATAGCAAACTGTCTCTCGCGACACTTACAGCCTACCTTGAGGGACGTCAGCTCAGTGAGAATCTCAAGGATTAACACAATAATAAGCTGATTAGAAAAAGGGCTCAATGTTTTGCAAATATTTAGTTACCCAGAGAAATTACATGGAGGGAACATTAGCCTCCTGGATCCTCAATTTAATTTCATGATTAATATAGCATATAATGGCAAAAGGAGCAATTCTTCTGTGACAAATGCATCAGCTCAAGACAAATGAGGCTCGTCCATGAAATTTTCATCTTTCATTTAATTTTGGGGGGGCAAAATACACCGCCCCGTCTCACTCACTTTCAGACCCCTTTCACACCACACCCATGAACCCACATGTGCAGACATGAGGTCAAGCTCCAAAGATCACAGAAAGGAGCCAGACGACACAGTGAGAAAAGGCAGCCAAAAGGAGGGGAGACCGGAGTTCCAAATTCCTCCTTTCCCGCAAAAAAAGCAGGCCCAAAGTCTCAGCTACAGGCGCCCTCCTTTACAATGCCCGTGTGCGGAAGTCAGGGAGCACTCTTGCAGAAACATCAGCCCAGGGAAATTCAAATGAGGAAGAAGCGGTGCAAGAGACAGAGGGAGGGAGAATGGGGGAGACAGCGAGGGAGGACAATAGTGAGGAAATTGGATGAAAGAATGAGATGGAGGCGCCGTAGGTAGCAAGGAGGGGAGTAGGTGGGACGGCGGGGTTGGCTTGGAGGGGTTGCTGAGGCTGCAGGTTAAGATAATGTGTAGATCTGAAGAGATTTGCGCCAAACATTTTTATTCATTTTTTGATTACTCCCGTCCCTCCCGGCCCCCCTTACATTCTCCTTTGATGCTCTTGTCTTTCCGTTTTGTTTGTTTTTGGCATTAGTGTTACGTGTGTCTGTGTGCGCGCGCGGCACATGCATGCTGATGAGAGGTAGAATATTTTATAAACACAAATTGGCACAAGCCCACCACGTACATATCAATACATGATGCACACAAACATACTTAAAGATGCATCAGAGAGTAAAGCAGCTGAGCCGACAGTGCAGCAAATGCAGAGCGCTTACTAATTTGCAGACAAAGATGTTACATCCACAAAGTCAAGCCTTTTTCACTGCTTGTAAAAGGCAACATTTTTCTGTGTTGCTGTTCTCCATGATGGAAGCGACGAAGCTGAGCTGGCAATTTCCCCACCTTTACAGGCAGTGTCAGAGCCGTACCAGAGGCAGGACGACAGTTATGTGCCGGAAAATTGTGCAATACCTGGACAGGAGTTTGGCATTCAAGACCTGACACTCACCTTTCATTCTGAGTGGATACTGTGTTGAACAGGGAGTCCTGCATTGGTCTCTATGTTAAAGGCCCGATTATAAAATGACACATGTGGCTTGTATCATAGCTGCATGCTGTCTGATGGTTGTTACAAACCAGGATGTGTCAAAATCGCTCAAGAATTCAATGAGTTCTAATGAACTTGGCACAAACACATCAAAGGTGGCAGTTATATACACATCATCAACCAGCCAAGGCTTGCTTTAGCTGATGTCTGTGGTCTCAGCAGCTACCTAGTAGCTAACAAGTAGCATGCAGGCTAACCCATCCAGCATTCAGGATGTTTCCCGTGAGGACTTATTACCACTATTCTACAAGACCAAAGTGTGCAATAACCGACCCAGATTCTACCATTGGCCACACTGAAACGTGAGATTCTACTTAAGGTAAGCCATTTGAAACTAAAAAGAACAACTATTTCACAGTGTCTGTTGATTATATTAAAGTTTCCAAATTGAATGTCGGGCTTTGTAAAACGCTTTAGGCACCATATAGCGCAGATCAAGCGCTACATAAATCTTCTTCTTACATCTAAAGTTTAAGGCAAGTTTTTTTTTCCCCAGCAAGTACGTATGTTTTGCCCATGGATCTATGTCATATTCAGTTGCGAATCCAATCGGAAGTCAGCAGCACGATTGGTGAATTGCAATTTTAGGAGTGAGTCTATCCACCAGTCAACAAGAAGTATTTTACATGCCTCAACAGAAGGTGGCGCTTATGATCTCATGCATCTAATTATACGAAAATGGATTCCTGAATTCATTGTGCCCACCGTTTGCCATAAATTCTGACGAAAGATATATTTCCTGAATGAGCTGGGCCACATACAACCAGAAATTGATCCAAAGAATCAAGACAGGAATGGACAAGTGGCGGGTCTTTAAATAATTTCCGCCCCGCATAAAAAAATAAATAAATACTGGTCCTATGTGGCCCTCCCTGGAGCACCGATGAAAAATTCTGGCCTCCTTAAGCAAGCTGGTCATTCCTGGTCTAAGAAGAAATAACGAGTAGTTAAACACACACACACGCACACGCGCACACGCACACACGCACGCACGCACGCACGCACGCACGCACGCACCACACGCGCACACACACGCACACGCACACACACACACACACACACACACACACACACACACACACACACACCTGCATTGCTGTCACTACCGCCTTGCAGGTTGAGTGAAATGCATTGGTCTCCATCCTCGTTCCCTTGACCCAGGATCATCCATTTTTCCACAACATCCGAATTGGAGGAGTTGGATGAAAGGGATAAGTCTGAATCAGATTTGTACTCCAACTCAGAATCAGATTGGGAGCTGCTTGAATCCAAAGTCACTGGAGTGATGACATCCACCTTTCTATGTGGTGTCTATTGAAAAAAAAGAGAACAAATTCTTAGGTTACATATAAAAAACTAAATCTACTTGTTGTACATTTAGCAACATTCAATCTTTTTTTAGACCGTGAATGACTGGAGAGACCAATTTACAGTGTACCCCGCCTCTCATCCCAAGTTAGCTGGTATGGGCTCGAGCTCTCTTGCGACTCTCAAAAATTGGATGGATGATCATTTAGGCATACAATAACTTTATGTACATCTGCCCAATAGAGCCCTCACAACAGTGTTAAATGACTATTGTATAATTTTTTTGGTGGTGTAAAAATGAACTGCATCTATATTTTCGATCCTCTATCATCTATAACTGCTTCAGACAACAAAGTGTATGCAGGAAAGTGGTTAAGATTGCACGATTGTCTATGTCTCATGTGTTGTCTTGTTTTATTTTGTCATTTTTCGTTAACTTTTCTTTTGATGGCGGCGCGGACACCCGCAGCGGCTCCTCTTTTTTTATGTTGAGAGGGAAGAAATTTCATCTGTTCATTTGACAATAAAGTTGTATTCAATTCAATTCAATTTCATTTTGCAACAGCTGTATGAAATCTGGTAGTGGATGACAATATCGCCTGCTGGACTCACGACCAAGGGCTATTCCGATCGCTCCTCGTCTTATGATCGTCAGATGGGCTTGAAGTTAGTTTAGTACAAGGAGGAAGATACGAGGACATCAACAAACATTATTCCAATCGGTTGCGAGAGTCCAAATCTTACGTCAGTCAAACACCAGCGCCGGTACTTACAGGCCAAGCTAGTGATAGCCACTCATTCGCTGGTGAACTCCAAGTTTATCTGCCGCGCAAGTCATCTCGTCCTCTCGAGAACATGTGCAATTTCTCCGTAACAAACCAGACCACTTGGCAACTCTGCATTTACCTTTGGGACCAGGGTGGATGTCAGCAGTGGGAGTCCAATGCCTCCCTTCAAGGCACAAACCCCATAGTCATCATCTGAAGAGGAGGAGAGACTTTCAGAGATGCTTATAACTTCGGGGCTGGAGTCAATGATGATGACGTCCTCAAATAGCGGTGATGGTCTTTGGACTTCTGGAACACTTTTTCCCTTCTTCCGTTTGACCCGTGTCTCACTGTTGTTGCATTGCTCCTGCAGCTTGACAGTCTTCAATGATCGTGGTTTCTTTTTGGCACAGTTTTCAAGGTCTACATCAACGACCGTCTCTGTAGTCTTGTCAACCGCATTGATCTCCTGGCTAGGCTGCTCCTCTCCATCTTCCGCTTCCAAATGCCCAGAGTTGGAAGAGTAGTGGAGCTGACTGTAGAGGTGGAACTCCAGCTCACTGATGGCCTCTGATGTCTCAGATTCATCCCCATCTCCCTGGTAGAGATCATCCTCCAACACCTGCCGGTCCTGAGAGCCGCAATACATCACCACAAGGGAACCTCCGTACACAGATGCTCAGATGCAGACATACACGCTGCCCAGGCCACTCACACTATGAACACAAAAATGAAAACAACCAAAAATTGTGTCAAGATTATCATTATTTAAAATTCGTTTAAGAACACAGATTAATTTATTTTTACACTTGCACGACAGGAACTGAACAGTGCTATGTGACATGATGCACCTTTTTCTTGCCTTTGCCATTAAAGTTAATTGTTTTTAGGTTTTACCAAAAGCAGTGGTTATTTTCCACTTAGATTTTCAAAATTCAAATCAAAACGATTATGTTTGACCTTCAGAGTCCTTTGTTCAAGTCTCCTCCTTATGTAGCCTCGGTGGACCGCGTAAACCGTAGCGAATATGGACAAGATTAATGTGAATTTGGACAACACGTGCGTTAGCGTCGCACCGGGAGTGACATCATGTGGTCAAAGAATGTGGCCTTTGGAGGATCTAGCCTGTGACGGTGTTGAAAGTGATGCTGGTGTTATTTTTAGACAGCCCGATACCGTATCACCGAAATACCGCCCAACCCTAATTACGATATTAACTATTATTATTCTATTTACAAAACCCTAATGTACAAGAGAAATAACGAGGGCATATTCTGAATCCGTGAAAAAAAATACAGATTTTTACTAGCATCTCTGATTAAAAAAAAAATGTAAAAATTAGTTAACCTGTGGAATCTAAAATAGATTTGGCTGGTTCGCCTGCGTTGCTCCTGAAAGTTAATCCACATTTTCCCAGTCAAAATTGACCATTTTCAGTGCCCTTGGTGTAAAACTATTTGAAGTATTATCTTCAGCGTTCAGGAGCAAGAGTCCAGAAGCTGACAACAATTACAGGACAAATGTTGGCCTTGGTTCTGAAATCCATACGGGCTTGTTAACCAAGCTCAGGAGAACACGGTTGAGTTCCACTCCTCCCTCTTGTTTTAACTTTAATCACAGCTTCTGTGCAAAGAAACACATTCTGTCAATTGATGGGCAAGAACAAATCGGGTGGACTAGGATAATAATTATGTTGATTGAAGTTAATCTGCACAATATTTCCTGCGTGCATACGCAGACACAGTGAACTGAGAAATGGCACAGGCTCATTGGCCTGTCTAGCCCAGCGTGTCTGTACCATGATGGCTGGAGATGATTGGCCTCTAAGAATGGCCACAGGCTGCAGAAACGCCACGCTAGGCTGTCACAAGCCGTCCAAGGGGATTAAAAAGACAGAAAAGAATATCAGACAATCTCTGCAAAAACCGTCTAGTGTGTGAAAATTGAGATGATCGCAGAAACTGTAATCCGGTTTAAAAAAAAAACAACTGCAACACTTGCGAAACTAAAATTAGTGTATTCAATAAATAGGAATTATTCAAAATGATGGTTCTAGGATAGAGATACGATCACAAGAATGACAAAATAGTATTGAGACGCCAGGAGTGCACAAGCAGGCTTGCCTGCGCTTTGAAGTAGGTAAACAGTGACGTGTTGCACCATCATGTATTGTACAACAGCGTATATATGGATATTTAACAAATAGTATCCGGAAATCGTACTATGTATGCATGCATTCATCCTCGAAAATGCTCATCATCAGTACATACTAAAAGATTCGCGCTCGAGCTATCTTGAATATATGTGGCAGTAGCCTTCGCTAGCAAAATGCTAACTAGCCGGCAGACGCATTGTAGCGCATGTTGGCTCTCACATAGAGCTATTTTAAGTCAAATAAAACGCAAACAAAACGCGTAGCTGTTATGATGGTTGACAAATTAAATATCATGGGCTTTAATTAAAAAAATATCGAGCGATCTGACAAGCATGTGTCCTTATAGTTGTGTCCACGTGCTCGAAACAGCATAGCAGGATGTAAACAACAAGCACACCGGTCACGAAAACGCTTGAAGGGGGGAAACATCAATTTCTGCATGTGTCCTACATCATGATGACGTGCTTTTATATGTAACTATATATCCACGGTCTACGGCCTTACCTTAAAACCCCAAAGTGATGTCTGTGCTCACATATACAGAGTAAAGTCCCGACTTCTTCTGAAGGGAGACACCAAAGAGCACTTCCGGGTTTGTTCGACGGAATAAAAGGTTGGCCAACCAAAGTCCGGATCTTTGAGCTCTCCCCGACCAACACTCGAGATTACAATGAGTCTTGCAAGGAAGCCAGACAGCAACGTGTAGCTGACATTATTCCGTACATTTTGAATTCCTTTTGATCATTGTTAAATTGTCAATACTTAACTGTCTATTTTTATGAGTGCTTGGTCGCTGAAGAAGTGAACAACTAAATCAAGTAGTGCACCTGTAGTTATGTGCCACTTGTTTATGTATTTTTTTAATATGTAACTTTAACTTTCATCGTTTTATGATGAACGAATTTTCCGGTGGTCACTGGTTGACACTAACAGTTCTACCATCGAACGGAACAGCATTCAGTTGTTCTGACTGTCACTGTACATAACTGGCATAGAGAGATGAATAAAGATATATCTGTAATTAGTAAATAATTTTCAAATAAATTTGTGAAATTTGTATCATTTGAAGCGATCCCTTATGATCTTTCACGGCACCTGAGTTGGGAGTCACTGTTTGCTGTGACTTTCTGCTCTTTTTGCTGGGTTGATTTTAAGAGTGGCTGCCATTCTCTCTTTACATTAACTCTCAGTATGTTTGTATGTCAAATGATGGTCAAAGTGAAACACAATGTGACCTGACACATACTTTGAGGTTGCCGGGTGTTCAAGTCTGCCAGTATATTTCCTATCGCCGCTTCTCTGTCATCATGAAAAATGTCAAAATACATTGCGTCTAAATAACACTGCTGATATTGTATAGCTATACAGTAATGCCATGCAAAGTCATATCAACTGCCAGCGGAATATATTTTTTGTCGCATTGTTGTGAAGCCTTTGATTATAGAAATGTCACTATTCAAACTGATTTTGTCATGTTCTGCTTTTGCTACCGTCACATCCAGCCCACTTTCATCTTCTTTCAGCCTAAAATATGAAATGTCACAACGTGCACAAGACCCTTGCTGCGTGCACGCATGTCTGAGCAACAGCTCAGAATCCTCAAGCCAGCACTATTATTGCACGTTGATTGGAATGGAAATATATATGTAAATGTACTTCAACAGACGAGCTATCGGCATCAGTCATATTTATAACAAGGTGAATGCAGAAAAATTCCGCCCCCCTGACTTTCATGACAGTCCTGCATTAGCATCCGCCTCTTCCACTTCTTTATATCAAGAGAATAATTGCAAACTCTGTGTATGCAACTATGGGGATCACTTTCATAATAATGGTGGAGAATGGTATTATAATAAGGATTCAGGGAGTGAATGCCATCTGATTCTTGAGGTGTCCCCATGCGTGTCAATACAGGAAAGGCCATCGCCGAGTTGGATTGTTTCCCTCCAAAGGTTAGACTGCACCTATATGTTCACTATCAACTCTTTTGGTCTTTCTCTGTCTGCACATACACGTACACACATTTTTAATCCTGCATCCGCTTTGTTTTTGGGAGGTGCATGTGGGTGGAGGGAGTCTGCGCCTCCTCTGCTCCTCATATCTCCTTAAATTGGATGCCGGTCCGGGATGCCTGACTGCCTCAGTGAAATTGTGATGTGGCTGCCTGATTTAGACTTCCATGCATTTGCTGGTATTTACTATTATTATTTTAGAAAAGGTTGGAGATCGGCTGAATGGAGGCATCTGGTTCACCAGTTCATCTCTACGTGTGTGGACCAGTGGAGTGTTAAAGATGGATGGACTGTCCGGGACAGGGATTTAAAATCCACTGATTTCCAATCAGACATTCCAGGAGGATGGTTCTGCCTGATGAATGATCTTTATTGGAGAAAAGGAGTTAAAAGAAGCATGTCATTGCTCTCATTTGATGGTGTTTTGGTGCGCCTTACACTGTATGCCTCCCACTGCCCGATGCTGTGGCCAAGACACACAACGTGTCCTCCTGATTTATTGCCAATATTCTGAAGCTGTTGGTCATTTGTTTAAAAAAAATACATTGGACTGAGGTCTATGATGGACCCAACTGGATCTTCAGCGATGCTATTGCTTGCAGTCATTCGTTGTGATAAAATGTTGATGATGGGTTTGACGGACACTTCTCAAAATAACACAGAACAAGCTTTCCTGTCTAAATTTGGAGATATTGTTGCAATACGTCAAGAAATGATTGAACTGGAAGAATTACAACGTGTAAGTTTTGCTACACAGTAGCAGGTCAGCTCTACCAGCTCAGTTTGGGCCAATCTCTCTTCTGCTTCAAAATAGTACAAAGGAGCAACTGTGAAAAGCATGCTGCATAGAACACATTCGTCGTCAGACATATTACAAACGACATCATTGCTGCAGTAAGAATGTTATCAGTATTATGAGGAAAAAGGTTGTTTGTAAAAAAAAAATAAAATCTTGCAATAAGCGATAAAATATTTAAACGATTGCCTTACACTTGGGCATCCTTACACCACATCCACTTATGAGAAAGCTTTATTTTATGTCCATACCAATTAAATGACTTGCTTTCGGGGTCAAGGTCAAACTACCAGTTGGTAGTCTGAAGATGCTCCATGTAGGAGGAGGCTGACAACACCTTCCCTGTGCATGCAGGGCCTGTGCCTGGTGCCGATGGGGATTGAAAAAACTTGTGAAAGGAAGCTTCGTATGCACTCACACACTCGCGCACTCTTGCAGTTCTAGATGCCCCAACACCTCTTTCCCGGCAGCAAATCGAAAACAACATTGACAGCAACCTTGTTGGCTCTTGTTGAATGGTCACGCTGAAATGTATACCTTTACGTATAAATAGCTTGGTGTCATGTTGTGTCACCTAATATTTCATGGACAAACAATGTGTCCAATTGCTCAATCCGCCCCGCTGCCCCTAAGCCGCCTTTGACAGAATAGCCACAGCAACAGCAAGCCTGGCTGCAAGAAAGGGAATCTTGTGTTGCCGCACACAAGTGCCACTCTGAATTACATCCTGAGGATGTTGAGGTCATCTGGGCGGAGAGCAGACACACCACACACAAGTCCTCAGTATTAAAATCAAGTTTTTTTTCATAGCCGTAAGAGGGAAAAATTGGATTATCAGACACAAAAAGGGCAGTATTGCTTTGTTAGGTTCACACCAAACAATCCCATAACACTGCACGTCTGCTGGATAAAGAAAGATTCAAAGTGAAGAATCACCTGCTCCTTTGCAGAAGCACCAATAGGTTAAATGCAAAGTAAAAAGCAAAAAAAAAAAAAAACTTTGTCCTTAAAGGGTGATAAAATGGGAATGTGTTGGGCACAAGCAATGAATTTTTAATCCTTTCAGATATACTACATGTGCTTCCACTCCATGTAGCTCAATTAACTAAATACTGTGTAGTTGTGTACATCGTCCAAAACATTTGAAAGAGAGAACTACACCAAGCAATAATGTACAGATTTGAATGACAGAGAGGCACGTATACTGTTTTATTTTATTTATTTTTTTTTGCATCTGCAACAAACTGTAACCACGTTAATAAACCTACTGATAAATAAATACCTCTCAAAATAGAGAATCATCACATCTAGTATCACACAATACAAGCACAAACGTCAGAAAAAATACTGAGTCATTTTGGAAAGGTAGATAGTATGGAACTTCGGAGTGTGTTTTGTGAGTGTGTGTGTGTGTGTGTGTGTGTGTGTGTGTGTGTGTGTGTGTGTGTGTGTGTGTGTGTGTGTGTGTGTGTGTGTGTGTGTGTGTGTGTGCAGCTTTCCATGACTACAACTTTGCCTTCATGGTAAGACTGCTTTCTAGTGACTCCAACTCTTCATTCCTTCATTTCAGTTTTGTTTTAAAACAAGTTTTGCCGCACTTTTCAGTGCATCTAAAACAGTGCGATGAACATCCCACAGTAAGGGACACCATGCACCTTCC